GTAATAAGCGAATCCCGCAGCGAAACATGAACACTAAGTGCCTCTAGATGCAAACACTCAAGCAATGCACTTGGATTCACTCCCAATCTCACAAAGATGATGAATCAATGATGGAGATGAGTGGGAGGACATTGGCTAAGCTCACAAGGTTGCTATGTCAACGCAAATATCCAAGAGAGTGAGCTTGAGCTGGCCACGGGGCTTAAATAGAGAGCCCCCACGAATAGAGCCGTTGGGCTCCTCACTGCACTAAACACGGGCCGACCGGACGTGCCGGTCAGATTGACCGGATGCTGGACCTCAGCGTCCGGTCGCGCGATGCATGCCACGTGTCCCCTCTTTTCAAATATTGAGCGCCTAATCCCAACGGTCAAGTGATGACCAGACGCGCTGCTGCAAAGTGACCGTATGCTAGACCTCAGCGTCCGGTCGTTTCTAGTAAGCATCCAGAGACGATTTTTCGTGACCGGACGTGTCGGGTCATGCTCGACCGGACACACCCAGCGTTCGGTCACACGGTGACTCCCCTGTGCGCTGCCATGTCAGCAGGACCGGACGCACCCCTCCAGCGTCCGATCACTAAGTGACCCAGCGTCCGGTCAGAGACCGACGCCAGCGTCTTTGCAGCTTCTACTGACCGAACACACCGGTCCAACCGAGGCCAGCGTCCGGTCACTTACAGTGACCTCCATCTTTTCTGTATAGGGCGCCGGTGGCACCGTCGGACTGTCCGCACTCTACGAGCGGACACTCCGCCGATGAAGTTTCTTACCCTTGCTCAAATGTGCCAATCACCAAGTGTATCACCTTATGCACATGTGTGTTAGCATATTTTCACAAACATTTTCAAGGGTGTTAGCACTCACTAGATCCTAAATGCATATGCAATGAGTTAGAGCATCTAGTGGCACTTTGATAACCGTATTTCAATACGAGTTTCACCCCTCTTAATAGTATGGCTATCGATCTTAAATGTGATCACACTCACTAAGTGTCTCGATCACCAAAACAAAAATGGCTCCTACCATTTATACCTTTGCCTTGAGCCTTTTGTTTTTCTCTTTCTTCTTTTCAAGTCATCGCTATGACATCATCATCATCATGTCATGATCTTCATTTGCTTCACCACTTGGAATGTGCTACCAATCTCATGATCACTTGATAAACTAGGTTAGCACTTAGGGTTTTATCAATTCACCAAAACCAAACTAGAGCTTTCACTCGCCCAGTCTGCTCCAAAGCAAACAGGGTCATCTCAACCTTCTCGTTCGATCCTAACCTCGAGCCATGTCCGCAGAATCTCCATCGAGGGGAGGCCAGCAGGCAACCCGGGTCGGTCTCCGGAATGACCCAGGCATCTATCGGGACGCGGGTTAAGGAGCAGTGGAATGCCACATGAGGGCTATGCTGACCCTGTCACAAACGACGGACACGGATTTCACTCGAACGTGCCCGTTAGCGAGCTCACCGAGTGCGTCACTCGAGCCATCGAGGCAAGCGACATTAGCTCCGACTCTCCGGTTGCGAAAACCGCGGACGGGGTAACACACGAAAACTCAAACCGACCCCTACCGAGCCCAACGGGGCTCGGGGGCTCAGGACGCCCAAACAACTTGGCACGACCTCGGCTGCGCCCAGCGCCTGGATCCGTGACTTCGACTTGCCCGATCCCTCGTTGCGCCCAGCGCCTGGATCCACGACTCTGACTTGTCTGATCCCTCGGAATGTCCGACGCCTGAATCCGTGACTCTGACTCGCCCAATCCCTCATTGCGCCCAGCACTTGGATCCGCCACTCCGACTCGCCCGATCCCTTGGCTCGTCCGACGCCTGGATCCATGACTATGACTCGCCTGATCCCTCGTTGCGCCTAGCGCCTGGATCCGCGACTCTGACTTGCCTGATCCCTCGGCCCGTCCGACGCCTTGGTCTGTGAGTCCGTCTTGCCTGATCCCTCGATTGTCCCTCGGCCAGTCCGACGCTTAGATCCGTGACTCTGACTCGCCTGATCCCTCGTTGCGCCCAGCGCTTGGATCCGCGACTCCGACTCGCCCGATCCCTAGGCCCGTCCGACGCCTAGGTCCATGACTCCGTCTTGTCCGATCCCTCGGCTGCGCCCAATGCCTTGGTTGACGAGTCCGTCTCGCCCGATCCCTCAGCTGTCCCTCGGCTACGCCCGACGCCTTGGTACGCGAGTCCGTCTCGCCTGATCCCTCGGCTGCCCCTTGGCGCGCCCAACGCCCTGGTTGACGACTTCGTCTCGCCCAGTCCCTCGGCCGCGACCAAACCCTGGGACCACGCTCCTGGAAACGATGGATCAGAAACTAAGAAGAGGAGGCTATGCCCACCAAGGTGCACACACTCACGCCCGTTGACAAAACCCCCCAGGCAATTCTACCTGAATTGCTCGGGGCCTACACCCGCGGGTGCGCTCGCGCGCACCCACTAACGAAACAAAAAATTCCCCCGCTGCCAACACGAAAAACCCCCCAGGCGATTCTGCCCAAATCGCCTGGGGGCTCGGGGGCTACACCCGCTGTCAAGACAAAAATCCCCCAGACGATTCTACCCGAATCGCCCGGCGGCTCGGGGGCTCCTGTTGGGTTCATAAACCCGAGGTCCCTCATGGACCTGCTTCCCAGCAAAAGCTCGGCCCAACAGACAATGATTGCGAACGACGCGCAACTCCTGGGCCGGCCCAAAAACCTAACGGCAGGCCAGAAGGAGGATCCAATCTCCGACCGGAAGGCCTCGCTTTCGACTCCGGCCCGCCTCTCTGACCGGAAGGCCTGGCCTAGGAGGAACAGCGCTCGCTTTCGACTTCGGCTCGCCTGTCCGACCAGAAGGCCTGGCCAAGGAGGAACGTCGCTCGCTTCCAACTCCGACCCGCGTCTCTGACCAGGGATGCGCCGAACCTCTGCTTACGGCTCTTCTCCGACTGGCGCAGTCGGAGCCGACTGGGACCAACCGACCGGTGACGCTCGCTCGGTGAGGACCCAGGAAACGGGCAGAGCAAGTAAGGCAGGGGGCTCCAGTCAACCACAATATCAAGGACCGTACCCTGTACACCTACAGGACAGTACCGATAGGACATGTCAGAAGGGTGCCCTGCAATCTTCCAGGCATGTCAGAACCCAAGCAGTGTTGTGGACGCCGACATTTGCCCTATAGTGTTGTGGGCGCCATCAATTCTCATACCAGGCAAACACGATAAAACTCCCACATGCCTCTGGACATCAACAGTGTTGTAGACGCCGTCATTTGCCATACATGGTGAATGCGGTAAAATCTCCCACATGCGTCTGACACAAACAGTATTGTGGGCGTCTGCCATCATCTTGTACCCAACGATGTGTGCAACAAGACTTAGTAGCATTCGTACTCTCTGTCTCGCTTGTAAGGCCGTCCCCTTCATCTATTAAAGGGGGCGCGCGCTCTCTCAACAAGGAGGATCGATTTGAGAGGACGTCAAGGACTCTCCAACGATTCGAACAACCAACGATCGATTCACCCTCTGTTAGCTTTAGACACTCTAAAGCTACACAGAGCACACGCTCGAATACTTAGCGCACGTAGGAGCTCCCGTCACTCTCAGCCCTTCGGTCCCGAGTTCGACCGGACCTCTTGCACCCCCATCTTACTCCCTTCCGTTTATAGCCCTACAGCAAACTTCGAGCACCTGGCCTCAGGAATAAAGTCACCGACCGACTCAAACTGAATGTAGGGCACGTTGCCTGAACCAGTATAAACCCTGTGTCATTAAGTGCTAGGCCACATCCGATCACAACGTACGACAAAACTACAAATATTTACGTATTGGTCATTTTATGCACCGACAATACTTAAAAGCCAAGTAACAAAAACTAAATCAAAAGGCCATGGACTGGATTTGGACGGACCATTTACACAAGTGCGGCGAGCCCGAGCCTGCGAGGCGTGTGTGAATTTCCTTTGTTCCTCCCCACGCTAGATTTAGAGAAGTAGAGAGAACTTTCGTATTTAAATATGGCAACCTCCACTTCAACTCGATGATTTTTTTTTTTTGTGATTAGAAAACTCGATGAACATGAATAGACAGCCTCTGTTTTTGGGCTGGCATTGTGTTGTTACGGTAGAAACTAGGCCAAGAAATAGAGGCCACACCTATTTGTTATTGGGATGTAGCGCTGGAGATCGAGGGGGCTTGGATATTGGAGCCCTGTGTCATCACCCAGCGGGACAGGCCTGCTAAGGCTGGTTGCACAATGTACGTGGACTGCGACTGCTTTTTGCACATATATTGTGGATGCTCTTATGGATTATCCGGATTAATAGTGCTGATGTGGATGCTGCGCACTGAGACGGAGGCTAAGGAAGATGTTGAATACTACTACTACAATATAAATCCCTTTGGTTATGCAGGAGAAATAGTTGCAGACATGAAATTCAGAATTTGGTTCTGACATAGTGGAGTCTGACAAAAGTTGTTATCCGGATGCTCAGCCTGTGATCTCTAGACTCTAGTCCAGCAACTGACATGATTCTAGCCTAACATAATCCCCATAGACTCACCAACAGTACGACCACTACAAAAACTCGTACCAGCAGCGAGAAACAAGCACTAGTTCATGAGCCACGCATATATTTATTTCCCACAAAAATATTCATAGAACACAGGAAACGACGAAACAAGAGGATTTGAACAAAAGAGTCTTGAGCTCTCATTGCATTGCATGCACTCGCTTATTCACCAGATTACAGCCCCAATCCAAGCAAAAACTGTGCAGAAATAAGCATCAACCACAGCCCACCACCACGACGGGGAAAAGAATGGCACCACAAGGGAAAAGTCCTCCCTTGGCTACAAACGTTTTCTTGTTTTCTCGACTCAACAGAAGAACGAAAACTAGACAGCATTAAAAATAAGCCTCTAAAAGTGCTCCAGCTTGTTGTCTCATGGATATAGAACATGACCCAGCTACGACCAGGTAATGGTAAGGCATTGACATCTGAAATATGTGCCTAATCTGCACGGGATTGGCCAGCACGGGATGAAAGGATGATGCCAACAATGAGACCGTAGAGGGCAAGCGCTTCGGCAAAGATAAGGATGAGGATCATGCCCACAAACAACTTTGGCTGCTGAGCGTTCGCCCTGCACAAAAGAACAAGTATTAGGAAGGGAAGATGTTGTGGTCTAGGCAGGTTCCAGTTGATGATCCAATTTTCAAAGTAAGACAACTGTTAGAATGGCATATGAACACTGAAGAAACTTCAACATTTCAAGCGACAAAAAAAAAAGGTAAAAAGCAAATACTCTGTTGTTGTACACAAGAAATTTTGACCTGAAGTAACATTACCAGCACTGAATCCCACAAACAGCCTATTCCAATACAATCTTTGAAAACAATCTACTGCAGGCAGGTATAAAATTAGTTCCAAATTCCTTTCAAACACCACCAGATCAACCAAGTGAATTATGCCATCAACTATAAGCATCGAAAGCAACTAGGTACCAAGTACCAACCTTCTCTTGGGTTCAAACATGCTATACAGGGAATTAGCATAGAGTTAACACAAGTGGTCTCAGATATGAATGAACGTGCAGATAGGAAATCCTAGCAAATATGAAACATGAGGTCCAAGACAAACGAAGTTGAAAGTACAGAATAGATCAACAAATGGATCCCTTTCTCTCTTTTTCCCCTTTCTCTCTTTTTTCCACTAAGATAAGATGTGTTTTGCATATATAATTATGCCTCACTATAAACTGAATTTCTAGAGAAAACAATGGTTACCAAGAAGAAACAGGATAGCTTCCTGATTCGGTTGCTATGATAGTCATGACAATAATAGTGAACCATTATGAATAGCTGAGACAAGCTAGCAAAGATTCAACTTCAGCTTATCAATGAACTAGCTATAAACAACTCAAAAAAGCTTGGTTTATGTTCTCAAAAAAGAGCTTGGTTTATGTCAATGGTGTGACAATCATTTACTACTCGATGAAATATAGTGTTTGCCTTTAAAAGCCAAGTCTAATTTTAACATTATCAAAATTATTAACTAGAAAGTCGACAAGGTACAAATATGCCAAAGGTCAAGTGAGATTTGAGGCATATCAAATAATTCCTATTTGGTCCAGACAACATTTCAGATGTAAATGTAGTATTCACTTCAGCTTTTTCAAATTAAGTATTTTGATAGTAGAGAAACTCATCTACAAACAGGTTTTGACAGCATAGAGTTTTAGAAGTGCCTGCCATTACTACTGCATTGAGCAACATATTATCAGCCAAACCATCAAAGCACAGCACAATATGATAGAGCAAGCGTCTTTACCTGACACCAGCATCACCAACGATGCCAATGGCCATGCCTGCAGCAAGCCCAGCAAGACCACAGGCAAGGCCAGACGACAGGTGGGCGTAGCCGTCAAAGAGGTAGTATGGCTTGGCCTTGGGGTTGATCCCAGTGCTGATGATGACGGCGATGATGAGGCCGTAGATACCGAGCACACCAGCCATGACCACGGGCACGATGGACTTCATGACGAGCTCGGGGCGCATGACACCCATGGACGCCACACCGACGCCGCTCTTGGCCGTCCCGTACGCCGCCCCCATGCCTGCGAGGAACACACAGAGAGGATCATGTCATTCACCGCCAGAAATTTCGCCCTCACACGTGCCAACCACATGGATCCACCCCAAATTCTCACAATTGATCTTCCACTTATTTCTCAAAACATATCATATCAACAAAATTGTCCGGCGCGCGTTAAGTATCGTACCGCCAATCTCTGAATCGCGGCAGATCGGAGCAAACGAACGGATCGGCTCCAACCTTTTTCCCCACTCAAATTCGGGAACAAACAATGCAACGGAAGCTATAGCAGGGGAGGACGAGGAGGTGGGGGGCACGTACATGAGAAGACGAGCGCGGCGGCGGCGCCAAGGAAGCCGAAGAAGGGGGCGGTCTCATCGCCACTGAACACCGACGACATCTTCCCCTTACTGCTGCCGCTACCGGTACTGCTGCTGCGATGAGAGCGGGAACCCTGGGGCGCTGTCGTGCCGCGGCCTCCTCTTCGTCGTGTGGTCGCTCCTCCGCTCGGGATTGGCCTTGCCGATCTGATCTGAGGAGCGCGTGGGTGTTTTGGTTGGGCTGGGGAAGAAGACGAGAGGGCCACGGCGCTGCGAGGTGGGGTGGGACATGGACAGTTTTACCCCTGTGACCGGGGAGGGGCAGGACACGTACTCCCTCCGTACATCGTATTCCAAAGAGCCAATTAATTTCAAGAATGACTGATTTTTTTCTATAAAAATATAATATTTTTTCATCTTTAAATCATTTTATTACTATTAAAATATATTGAGTGGTTAGTCTAAGCTTTGAAATTGATTAAATTTGAAATTGGTTACCCTTGAAATGCAAGAAGCACAGCTATATTAGAAGGGAGTATACGACGAGAATGTATGAAAACTGAAAATCAGAGGTAATTTAGTTAAAATTGTTCTGGGACCTCTTAGATTTCAGCCAAATTACGGAATCGCTTTTTGTTGTTAGATTGGGGTAGGTGTTCGATATTGGTTGTGTCCGTTCGTCAAATCCATCACCATAGTCCATAGTTTGCATCACACCAATCGAGTGATTATATGGTGAGAAGTTAGGGCCTTAAGTAAGAACATGCCTGTCGGGGACAAATACTAGGGTACCCGAAGAGGAGAAGTTAATAACCATCAACATTGACACGTCCGAGCAGTCAAGAGCGCGACTACAGCTCCAACCGACCCCCAGGTGCGCAAGCTCCGCCTTGCCCGACATCGGAGGGCTGGTTCCGCCTCGCCCGGCCTCTAGGGGAGGACTCCGCCTCGCCCGACCCCGAGGCGGCAGGCTCTGCCTCGCCCGACCCTCGGGTCTGCGCTCCGCCTCGCCCGACATCTGAGGACTGGTTCCGCCTCGGCCGACCCTTGGGTCTGCGCTCCGCCTCGCCCAACCCTCGGGTCCGCGCTCCACCTCGCTCGGCCTCTCGGGAGGACTCCGCCTCGCCCGACCCTTGGTTCTGCGCTCCGCATCGCCTGGCCCCGAGGCTGCGGACTCCGCCTCGCCCGACCCTTGGGTCTGCGCTCCGCCTCGCCCGGCCTCTAGGGAGGACTCCGCCTTGCCTGACCCCGAGGTCGCGGGCTCCGCCTCGCCCGACCCTTGGGTCTGCGCTCCGCCTCGCACGGCCTCTGGGGGAGGACTCCGCCTCGCTCGACCCCGGGGCCGCGGGCTCCGTCTCGCCCGACGAAGACCCATACCGTCGCCAACCACTTTAGGTCCAACCGAATGGGCCTGGGTCAAAGCTCTGACACCAGGGAGGTGACCGGCACACCTCGATATAACCCGTGGCCGTGACGGGCCATACCTAGGGATTCACATCAGGAACAGCATCGGACGTACCGGTGTTGTTCTGCCTAACCCTCGTACGAGCACTGATAGGCACGTTAGGACACCACGACGTCCACCGAGATAGAGTGGAACGCCATGACTGGAAAACGACACCCGCGCATGGCCCAGTGACGGACAGGGCCGCAACGTGGAGCTGTCTCTGTTGACGTCTATAGGGTCGGCGGGACCTACGTGATGGAAAAGAAGGACCTAGTGATCCTAGAGGACTTCTCCTTCTCCCCTTTTTCCTCAACTGTAACACATGCTTTCCCTTGGCCTATAAAAGGGAAAGTAGGATGTCCCATGAATGGCACTCGGATCGCAACGTATCACAACACAACTCGACTTGAATCAATTGCATCGCGACACAAACACACAGCCAGGAAGCGACCGAGCCCTCGGCACCCGTTCGCTTCTCTCACCAGAGACTTGGGACATGTCCATCTCTCGATCGTTTGTAACCTCTACTATGAACTTCTAGTGCTAGTAACATGAGCCGCAGCAATGAACTGGATGTAGGGACATTCTATCCGAACCAGTATAAACCTCGTGCCCTCTTAGCACACCATCCGGGCCAGACGCGCAATATTAGAAATTTACTAGCCGGTGGCAACTCGAAACACCGACAGTTGGCGTGCTAGGTAGGGGCCTTTTGCGTGTCTCGACATCCACACCAGGCCTCGGATGCCCGACCCCGCTCAAAAGCGGATAGGGACTTCTAGACCTTTCTCGTTCAATCCTAACCTCGAGCCAAGCCCATAGAATCTCCATCGAGGAGAGGCCAGCGGGCCACCTGAGTCGCTCTCCAGAGTGACACGGGCATCTGCCAGGAGGCAGGTTAAGGAGCAGTGGAATGTCACATGAGGGCTATGCCGACCCTGTCAGCGGATGATGGACCCGGATTCCACTCGGGCATGCCTATTAATGAGCTCGCCGAGCGCGACACTCGAGCCATCGAGGCAAGTGTCGTTCGCTCAGCCCCTCTGGTTGCAAAAACCACGAATGGGGTGACGCATGAAACATGGCCAACCCCTACCAAGCCCCATGGGGTTGGGGGCTCGAGCCGCCCGACCCGAACTCGGGAATCCACTTGACTAGGGTTCGAAGGCCGGCCCACGAAGGGCCCGAGGCCACCTCGCGTCAAACAGAGCTAGGGGAGAAAATGCATATGAGCCCCAGCGGCCTTCGCCTGACCCACTTAGAAGCAGACAGGGTCATCTCAACCTTCTCATTTGACCCTAACCTTGAGCCAATCCCATAGAATCCCCATTGAGGGGAGGCCGTCGGGCCACCTGAGTCACCTTCCAGAATGGCTCAGGCATCTACCGGGAGGCGGGTTAAGGAGCAGTGGAATGCCATATGAGGGCTATGCCAACCCCATCACCAATGATGGACCTATATTCCACTCGAACATGCCCGTTAGCGAGCTCACCGAGCGCGTCACTCGAGCCATCGAGGCAAGTGACGTTAGCTCAGCCCCACTGGTTGCGGAAACCGTGGATGGGGCAACGATCACAAAGACAAGCCGACCCTCGACCACACCCCTGCTATGCGTGGGGCTCGAGAAAAGTTGGACTCATAAGGAGACCGAACGCGCAGTCACAGAACGATGGCTCAGATCCTAGGGAGGGGGTACGTGCGAAAACAAAAGACGCTTTCTCCTACTAGTTTCGCTATCCTCTCCTTGATCTTCAGTGACACCTGACCCTAGCAACGGCTAGGCATTGAGTCACACTCGAGGGCTGATAAGGGCATATATACACCCTTTCTAAAATGGTCACCACGCCCGACCTCTTCCTCACGTTAAAAACCTAGTGGCAAGGTGTGCGAAAACGAACGACTGAGTAAGGCTGGTCAGACTACGAGAAACCTACGCCCCAGCGGCTATGGCACTCTAGCTTACCAGCATGATCAGAGTTTCCCTCCTACACCTCGGGCCCTATGGTCTTAACAAACAGAGGGGTCAGAACACATGAACCCCTTTTCACACATAAAAAGGGAGGAAAAACAAATTCGATCAAATGAAACAAAATGATAAGTTTGTTTGGATAGTACAGAGGGGTTGGAGCTTGTCTGCTAGTTACATGAATGATTGCCCGACCTATCTGGCTAAATAACCCCTCCGAGGGAGAACTATGCTCTCTATTTTGTCCGCTAGGTCCTACGAAACGGGAGCCACCGCCGTCTCCATCTCCTCCAGCTCATGGGCTTCATAGCTAGGCGCAAAGCCATGGTTCATCGTCTCTAGGTCGATGCTGTCCCTGAAATGAGAATGAGCAATCATGAAGGATTGATTAACCCCAGCATGAAGGACATTCCTCTCGAGCTAGCGCACCCGAGCCATGATCTCAATGGCATGGGCCATGAGCGAGCTGGTCCCCTCCGACCGCACCACCTCAAGGTCGTCGTAGACCACTTCGAGGGCGACGCTCAGGATGCCAAGCTCGTCGCTCTCTGCCTGAAGATTCCTCCTCGCCTTGGCGAGGTCCATGGCTAGCCCGATAGAAACACTCTCGGCCTCCAGCTTCTGGGCCGTCATGTTTTCAAGCTCGGCCTAGAGGGAGCCGACCTTCTGCTGCACGTCATCGTGCTCTTGGCAGGCCTAGTCACGCTCTCGAAGGACCTTGTCGTGCTCCTCGCGAGCCACGCCACACTCCGAGCAGAGCCTCTCCGCGGTTTGGAGCAGCTCATCCTGCTCCTTGCGCAGCCGGGCGACCGCCGTGGCATCTAGATTTACCCTCTTCTCTAGGGCCTCGAGCTTCTCCTCGGCCCCCAGCTTCAGCTCCCATTCCTTCTCAACCTCAGCCAGAAGGTCAAGGATCCGCTGGTGGGTCTCGGTGTCCTTCTAGAGCAGCTCTTCCCGCTCCTTCCTGACCTTGGCAGCCTCCTCGTTGTCCCTCCATAATCTCACCGACAGGGCCTCGAACGCCCTCTCGGCCTCGTTAGCATGCCGACGGGCCTCGACCACCCGTGACCGAAGACTATCCGCCTTCTTGGCGAGGGGAGTCAGCTCAGCCACCCTCTGATGGGTGGCAACAAGCTAAGCGGTCCCTCCCTGTGTAGCCACGTCTCCTCGGTATGGCGATCCCAAGTTTCCTTCTGCTCATGAAGGAACCGAGACTTCCCCTGGCTGCAAGCGATAAGGCACTGAAAGGAGATGATGGTCAGAATCCAAAAAATATATAGAGAAAGAAAAGGGCGAGAAGCAGGGTCAAGCGAATACCCGACCGGAGGGAATGACAATGTCGTGCAAGGCACCTCGACCATGGTCCAGGGCTTCGAGCATGAACGCGATCCCCACATCGAGTATCTCCCGCTCCAAGCTTTCTGCGGCGTCCTCGAGAGTGAAGAGCGTTGACGTCAGATCCTCTGGACTCGCCCAGTGGAGCAGGGGCTCACCCCACGCAGGAGAGTCACTGCCCACCGATGTCAGGGCTAGGGACGGCTCCCTGTTGGCTCCGATTGCCGCCGACCCTTCTCGCCGTGATGTCCCCACCGAGACACTCCCTCCGGCGACGGAAGGGGTCAGCGGTACGGACGCTAACTCCTCTCCCAGCACCACAACCTCCGGGG